TGTTGCATCAGTATATATTTAGTTTTTTATGGTTCATATTCAGTGGGTGCTGAAATGCTTTCAATTCCTATTTGGTTGTGTTAAAAATACATAATTATCTTTCTTTAATTTACCTGTTTGTGTATTGTTGTTTAACCTGTGTTTAGAATACTAGTCATCAGTAGTGAAATTTCTTTTTTTTGATTGAAAATAACAATTGAAAATGTTTTATAAACACAGCAACCATAGAGACAAGATTTTTTCTTGAATTTAATGGGACTAATAACAACGATGCAGGAAATATTTTTTTCATTTGAAGCAGAAAGTTGTAATTTAGTCAACTTCTAATCAAAACACTATTCTTTTTGACTTTGTTTTGATTAATGCTTATTAAGTAAACATTTTAGAAGTGCAAAAGAAGTCCAGAATTAAGTTGAATACTTTATACCTTTAAAGAATAAGTCAATTTTTGATTAAAACATTCAAATTTTACCAAAAGAGTAATAAAGAGTCAAAGATAGTTAGCAGACGAATTTAGATTAAGAAAGAATGGAATATATGTACTTTTGTTTTCAATAAAGAATTTGATTAAAAAAATAAACAAACTTTTGCATTTATCTAATATTTCTTGTATACATTCCTATATTCGTCATCATGTTTATTTATTTCAAATGTTGATGCTGTGTAAAAAAACTTAAACATTTTTGAGATTTAATAATAATTTTGAAACATCTTAATCATTCTTTTGAAGCTTTCACAGCTTGGATTGCTTGAATTGTTAGTCAAGGCTTCCTGATTACAGAAATGTTGAATTCTGACGTTTTGCCAACATTGCAGTTAGCTTCATCAAGGTTTTGAGACACACTGATAATGTTCTGTGTCATTTGGATTTCATCTTAAAAAAATGCTGTGTTCATGTTCCAGATCATTGATTACCAATCCAGTGTTTTTTAATAGGTCAGTGCTGAACAATTACAAAATTAGGAAGAGCATGTTCTATATATGGTACAGTTGGTATTCCATATCTCTGTTGATATTATTTAGGTGTTTCCTTATTTCTAAGGCTACTCCATCCTTTCTTGAGAAGTACCCTGTGGTCTTTGCAATAACTTTGGCTTTTTCCCATTTTATATTATGCCCTGCAGCTTTATGGTGCTCCACTATGGTCAATTGTACGTATCCTAGTTTGATGCACCTTTCGTGTTCCTTAAGCCTAGTGCTCTTACTTCTCCTGGTTTCGCCAATGTACATTGCTTCACATGAGCAAAGTACTTTGTAGACCCCTGATGATTCTAATGTTGATATTGGATCTTTTGAGGAGGTGAGTACTTGTTTAATTTTGCTTTCTGTGCTGAATACAGTACCTATTTTGTGTTTTCTAAGAGTTTTGCCTATTTTTTCAATGATGTCTTTGATATATGGGAGGAAGACTGTGTGAGTATTATTCATTGGTTTTTGTGTTCTGTTGTTTTGTTGTGATTTTCTGATCATCTTAGTAATGCAGTGTTTGTTTAAACCATTCTGTATTAAGATCTTGGTGATATGTTCTTTTGTGATGGGTGATGGTATGAGGTGGTATGCAATAGGTTTTCTGTATACCTTATGCCCTAATGTGCCATCTGGTTTTCTTATTACTAAGACATCAAGAAATGGAAGTATCTCCGTGGTGAACTGAATTGAGGGCTTCAATGAATTAATATATTGGAGGAAATCTAGTAAGGTATTATACCATAACTCCATACTACAAAAGTGTCATCCATATATCTATATCACTTTGATGGTTTGAATGTGGCTTTTTTCATGATACGTTCTAGCTGTTGCATGTATAATGTCCACAATAACTGGTGATATGGGTGAACCCATGGCTGCACCAGACACTTGTTCGTAGTATGTACCTTGGAAAAGAAAATATGTGGATTTTAAACAGTGTTCTATAAGGGTAACAGACTGTTTGCCATTTTTCCCTTGATGATATCCAGGATTTCATCTATGTGAATACTGATGAAAAGGCTTTCATATCAAAGCTGACTAAGTGTTCTTTAATAGACAGAACTTATACAGGGTGTTCACATTATTACTAACCAGCATTTTTCTTGTAAATGGTAAATACCTACTAGAAAAAAATGAAAAAGTAAAAAGTTTTGCAGTTTTCTATGTCCAACACAATAGTTATATGAATTTTTTATGTTTGCCATATTTTTCAAGAAAAGAAGGTGACCTTCAATTTTTTAAATGGAATGCTGCATATCTTTTTATGTCATATGAAAGCGTGTATCAAGACGAATTCATTTTTGTGATATACAATGACCGTTAGGGTCATACAGGGTCAGACATGAATGAAATATTTCAAATATTATGTACCGATGTGTTTACAAGTATTCTTTCTTAACAAGACTACAGATATTCAACATGACTGTTACGTGCCGACGTGCCCGGGCGGTAGTTAACGTGAATCGCATGGGGCGTGATGTTAAAAGATTCATTAGAGTACTTCAGGAAAGTCCATATGGAATAGATTTTAGAATAGATGCACCTAGATATTGGGACGCATATTAAAACGTATAATGAGCATCCGGTTTACTGGCGAGTTCTAAGATGGAACGATACAGCTTGTCTCATTCCTAAATTATTCTACTGTTGGACCATGTTGGTTCTAAGGAAGGAATGCGTTATATTAAGAATCATTCACGACGTCTAAATAAAAGATTAATTTTTTTATTATCGATTAGGGAGTTCTCATTCCGAGAAAAACGAATAATTATTCAAGCGTCGTCGATATTCATTATTCAATGTTAACATGTTTTTGTTAAATAATAATCTCCAATTAGATTAAAGATTCTATATAAAATTAATTAAGGATAAATTTAATTGGTATCCCGCATTTGTTTATTAATATGTGGGGCATCCTTTCCAGGCAATAATTGTAATTAATCTTAAGACGAAATAAATCAAAGGTTTTTATATTTCTGTTTCTACATTATACAATAAATCAATAATAATAATTTACATAGAGACGAACAAAAGCTTATACCCAAAAGAACTAACAAACTACTAAATTCAAACTTTTAAAAAACGCACGCAAATGAAACGCATGCGCAAACCGAAAACCCTACACATGTTTCTATTACAGTGAGTGTTTTGCATCTCAGCAATGTTTCTAGGCGTAGCAACGAGGATAAACATTTACTTAAAGGAACAGTTGCAAATAGTAAAGAATGACAGTTTACGATGTATGTATGTTATCAAGTTACTTTGTTCGTTTAGCTTCGGTTACACCGCTGTATAATTTATATTCGGCGCGTTTAGAATTCACATTACAGGGAGTCACATGTACATAACACCTTAGAACATATACATCTAGAAGGCACACTGCCTATATGTATTGGCCTAATCGTCCGCGCCTTAATATCGTCGACGGTGATTCGTCATTGTCACCGTTACCATTGAAGAAGGGATTGTATACTTTACCTCAGTTTGATATGAATTACATTGATGATTAGATATCATTGAACGTAAGTAAACAAATTTATTTGAGAAACGGTTATAACTCAATTTAAAAAATGCCAGACAGATATTGCCTGTTATGCAATAACCAAGATAAATCGGATTCCTATTATTCGCAAGTAAATATGTGTAATATTTAATACATTAAATTAATTAAATTATTATGTGTACACAATTAATTATATGATAAATTTTAGGTTAATTTTTTGTACGATATTTACTCATATTTGCAAATGTAATATTAACTTCATTCGTTCTCAATAGATTTCCGATAAACGAGGAACCTCGTAAGAAGTGAATAGCTTTTTGTGGCATTGATGAATAAGGTTTGAACACTGTTATTAAAAGATGATATAATTCATTACGGTAAAATTACGTTTGTTAAGCCCAATGTTGTACTATCTATCAGTAAGAAGAGTTGCATAAATGTTGGAATTTAATCGAAGATTGTAAAGATTGTTTGAGAAAACTGAAGAGCACAACTGTCAGAAGTGGTATTGCAGATGACATAAATTTCGGCAATGTAAATATTGACAATGTCAACTTGTGCGATGGAAGTATTGACCATGGAATGATCACTGATAAAACAGTCTGTAATGGAACTGTTGATGACATAACTTCGAACAATGTAGATATCGATAATGCTAATTTCAATAATAGAACTGCAGACAAGGAAAACTTTAAGTTTGTATTTGTCGATGAAGTTCCCACTGTATTACTGAAAGGTAAAAATTATTGTATTTGTATGTCTTTGATTAAAATAAATTGATGACACCTATAGAAACTTATGTAACAGTAAATTACCTTTCTACACTGCAGAGTTGTGAAAGTATTCAGTGATTTTAAACACCTGTTAAAGCTGTGCGTAATCTTCACTACAGATGACATTAGAACACCACATCTTAATATATCTAAGAAAGCGAAAGGGGTTTATAGTTAGCAAAATGGACCATTGCAAACCAGCAAAGGAAAATTAAAACTTTACAGCAAGCTCGAAACAGATTGATTGCTCGTGTAATGACAATGAAAGGACATGTAAAATATTTGAAAAGGAAAAATCTAAGACTGCTGCAAATTTAATGGTATTTTAAAAATTTAGTAATAATTAAGACTGACAAGTTCATGTGATTCTCAGTACGCTGAATGTTACTAAAGTAAGATTGTAAATTTGAATATCTTTTCTGTAAATCGTTATCAATAATCTCAATGAAAAAATTGTATATTTTAATAATGAAATATTTGAATTGTATGTACCTACATTAATTAATTTGAATAAAAACCCTGATTTTTGTACATCACAATCATTTTATTATATATGTTTACTAA